AACGATTGGTTCATATGCCATTTGTTCCCGCAGGATACTGGAGCCAACCCATGTGCACCATTGGTTTGGAATTGGGTTAAAGCGCTGGACATTCGCCTTTCGTCCTCTCAATTTCGTAAACAACACCCCGCCACAAGAAGGCAGTGAGTAGGACTTCCGTGGCAGAGGCTGTATACGCGTGGTCATGTGAGAGCATTTCGAGAGGGAGGGTGGGCCCAACCTACTCTCGGCCATAACAGGGCATTTGGGGGCCAATACTGGACTAAAGAGCTATTCTTGTTCATTTTGTGATGAAAATGATTTATCACCTTGTATACTGGTAATATAATCTAAATTACATATAGAAAGAGAATGTTGATGAATAGATAATAGAATCTGTTATATCCTAGTGAAGATAACATTACGAGTAACGTCTGAGACCTATTAATGGACTAATATTATTTATATATTCTTACAGTATTAATATTTAGTAACTAGATTATGTATATTTATATTCCCCTTGTTATAAGCTTTATTTTGACTTATATATTATTATTGTACAATTTACTGTTCTTAAGTTATGTTCAGTTTATTGACTACTGCCTCCCACATTCACAGTCACTTTTTGGCTTTATTGTGTACAAATGCTACTTCCTATTTCATGGTGCGTTGCGACCTGTTTTGTTTGGTATATAAACCCAGTATGTCTGAAATAAAGGATTTGCATAGTGGAGGCTGCTATTGACAATCTGAACTTAGCCGGACGGGCTAGACGCTACGCTGACCAGACTGAACGAAAGTCATTGGTTTAGTATAGTATAAGAGCGAATAAGTCGTATTTTGATTGGCGAATAGATTACGTGATAACAAGCGGCTCATAAAGTCACAACAGAATGATAATAATAATTATGATAATTAAAAGTACTAGGATAATTAGTCGAATATAGAATCCCCGAAATAACACCATTCGAGTTAGGTAGAACTAGGTGAGCACAAACGAACGTATTGTATTTAAAAATCGAAATCAGGCACAAATCAAGTACATAGAATCATTAGTTCATACAAACACCACTGCTAAGTCTATCGAAGCGTTCAAATCATTCAATTGAGATATACACAAAATCGAAGTTCGCAAAGTAGCGATTTGTCTAAAATAGCGATTCTTTATTAAATAATACTACAAACATTAATTACAGACATCAATTTGTGAAGTGTCTGTGGCGTTTACGACGTCCTTTTGACTGAAATAAAAAAGGCTTTGGTAGCGCGAAAATGACAGCCGTTGGCTGCGTCTAAACTTGATAACGATTTATCAACAAGCAAAAATTGAACTAAGAGAGAGCAATATGAAAACAGTTGCGCTTAAACAAGGTTTAAACGATTGCACAAAATTGAGAATAACTGTTACAATGACTGAGGTGAAATAATTCTAATGATAAATACAATAAATGTTATAAGTATATGTTAATATTTCAGAATATATTAGGACAAACTTGTTTTACAACATACGCATAGACATTGCTAGGAATACAATTATTTACTTACTTACTTACGCCTGTTACTCCCAATGGAGCATGGGCCGCCGACCAACATTCTCCAACCCACTCTGTCCTGGGCATTCTTTTCTAATTCCATCCAATTCTTGTTCATTTTTATCATGTCTACCTCCATTTTCCGGCGTAATGTGTACTTTGGTCTTCCCCTTTTTCCTTGGCCTTGAGGATTCCATGTGGGGGCTTGTCTTGTGACGCAGTTGGGTGCTTTCCTCAATATGTGTCCTATCCACTTCCAGCGCTTTTTCCTGATTCCTTCCTCCACTGGGATCTGGTTTGTTCTCTCCCACAGTACGTTGTTGCTAATAGTGTCAGGCCAATGGATCTGAAGTATTTTGCGTAGACAACTGTTAATAAACACCTGTATTTTCTGGATGATGACTTTCGTAGTTCTCCAGGTTTCTGCCCCATACAGTAGAACTGTCTTGACATTTGTATTGAAAATCCTGACCTTGGTGTTGGTTGACAGTTGCTTTGAGTTCCACATGTTCCTCAGTTGTAAATATGCTGCTCTTGCTTTGCCAATCCGCGCCTTCACATCTGCATCAGATCCACCCCGTTCATCAATGATGCTGCCCAAATATGTCAAGCTTTTTACATCTTCCAAATCGTCTCCGTCAATTGTGATTGGATTGGTGCATGCTGTGTTGTATCGCAGAATCCTGCTGTTCCCTTTGTGTATATTGAGACCTACTGCTGCTGCTACACTGTTCTTCTTCTCCAGCATTTGTTGTTGCGTTTGGGATAGAAGAGCCAGATCATCTGCGAAGTCTAGATCGTCCAGCTGCATCCTAGATATCCATTGTGTCCCGTGCTTCCCTTCAGATGTTGACGTCTTCATGATCCAGTCGATCACCACGAGAAAGAGTGAGAGTAAGCAACCTTGCCTAACAACGGTCTTCACTTCGAACGACTTTGTCAACTGTCCTCCATGCACGAATAGTAGTATAAAATAATACACGAAAGAGTCGAAGGGAAGTGAATATGAACAGCGAACGTAAAACAGACTTAACAAGCACACTGAGATATGACGAACTGACAACATTTGACAATAACAAATATATTGATCTACTGCTATCACTGATTCAAATTAAAAGTCACAATAAGAATAACCAAACACCACAAAACGCCTAAAACAAATTACTAGGCTAGAGCTCATATCAACTTTAGAAACAGAGTCAATGAATATGACACTTAAAATGTGGATCGTTTAAGTCTAATTATTCACTCACATTGAACTTAAACGACTCATCAAACTAATTTAATTATTCAACTAGTTGGTTGAATAGCTGAAATCTGTCAGTCATATTTTAAATTTGTTCATGTCCTAAACTAATGACAACACCAGCAACATAGGTAATAAAATATCAACATACTTCAGTACTCCAGTAAGTAAACATTTTGACTGTTAAAACTCAGAATAATACAGTGTAAGCTGTAAGTGGAATAATTTTATTGTGAGATAGTAGTTAGTAGACAATCTTCACAATGATCTAATGTTCTTATTGTCTTCTTTCTGTTACAGAGTAAGTGTGAACAATCGACCAGATGAAGCCTATAAAGATGAATCAAATACGAATTCTTATACTGTAACAACTGAAGTTCCTCCAGAAACTACTTCCTATATGCTTGATCATGGACGATGTGAATGTATTTGTTAGTAGGAACCGGTCAATGAAGAATGAATGAATTGTCAAATAAAATCATAAATGTTCAATGTAAAAACTTAGTTTGATTTGTTTTAATTTTAAGATAATATAATGAAGTTTGATTGCAGATTCAGTGCACACGTACACACATAAATACAGTGTATGTGCAAGAAAGGCGAGTCTCTAATTTATGGACGACCTCTGAACGAACCTCAAGTGACCTTGAGAAATATCAACCAATCAGAAAACGTCAGTGTAGAGTAAAAATATATTATACAGAACCAAGGAACTAAAGTGGATACACATCTTATACGTGATTCAAAAACTTGTCAAGGTTAGAAAGAGGTTCAGAGGTTCTAAGATCGTAATGCATGCAGTAGAGGGAATCATCCATATGGCTGCATAATAGTAGGCCTCTGGAGCCATGATAAGGTCGCAAAACGCTTTCACTCTCGACCACATAGCTTCAATATTGTTTGTGTGCACTCCGGTTGTTGGGTCCAAAAAATGCCACCCGTGGATAATGACACGATGCAAATAACCAAGCCTATGTAAGAGTCTGTACGCTCTCCAATCATCAGTATGTATTGTAGTACCTGGCTGCAGACAGTGTTACTGGTGTTTTTATTATTCGGTTCGCAATAATTGTCGTAATTTGCCTTAATTAGCAATTATATATAGGGTTTTCATCACGAACTGACATCAGCTATAATGCCAGAAATTTATTTAGCCAAATGAATGAAAGGCTCTCGTGTTAAAATCCGAGATCTATTATCTTATACCTGATTGGCTCGTCCATAAATTAGAGTCTCGACAAAATAAAATGTAACGGCTAGATTGCATTAAGACTACACAATCTATGTAAATCTTGTCATATTTGTCTTCATTGTTTATTCACGACAATACATGGCATTAATTATAATGCAGTACATTCATTTCGAAATCAATATCAAAAAGTCTAACCACTAAGAATGGACAATCAGTCATCACCAACGTAGAATCTTATACATATGTGTATTCATTTATTTGACATACCATATTTTCCATCTTTGTCTGGAATCTTAAGTCTAGCCTCACCATTGCATATCTGGTGGTTCCAAGAAAATTGAGTAGTGCTTTGATAGCATGAATGATCAAAACACTCAACCTAAGCATATCTCCAACTTTCAAAGACTGAGTTTCACAATCATTAAGTGTGAGAGAGAGAGTTCTTGAACAGGATACTCATCTTTTAACTGACAAACGAACATCATGCCTACATTACAAGTGACGTAGGTTGGAAAACACTAATCGAGACTCCTGAATTCGCGTAGAAAATGTCATCGTAAACCATCCCATCATGGTTGATGGGAGAAATATTTACTTCGCTTGCTGTTAAGAATCTCGAAGCTCAACTACCGACCCTTTTTGAATACAAACACCAAGTATAGATCTTACAATGACTACGGCTTCTGTTCATTTGGATAAGGCAGAGTTAGTTGAATAAACTCTCTGCATCTATTTTGTCAGCGTTTTACAACTCTCCGTGTCCACCAACCCAACTACAGCGCTGGACATTCGCTTTTCATCCTCTCGATTTTGTTAAAAAAAAAATACCCAATTCAAAAAACATATTACTCTAATCTGAGACAATTAGTTTGAACGGTTCAACACTCATCATCAAAACAAGTAAAAACTCAAAAGAATATACATTATTATCCAATAATAGTTTTAATTATTTGTCATAATAATAATAATAATAATAATAATATGAATCTAACAAGTCTGTACAACGGCAAACCAAAATGCTGATTGTAATAAAATATGAATTAGATAGATCGAGTTAAATACATAAAAAGGAAAGTATTACGACGATAAGAAAAAAAAGCACAACTGAAGAGTATTTATTACTCACTGTTGGATTCAAGTACCAGCATTTTAGTTATGTAGAAAAAGTGGCATACAAACGAGATATATCTGTATATATAACATAGATACACTTAATTATCCAAAACATATAAATGATCGCATTTCAGTGACAAACAAATGAAAATATTGTTGAAATTCTGATCGAATTGAACGAGTTGGTTTAGTTTCATTAAAACATTTTATATATAAATTATTTTTATTAGTTTGATCCTCCATTATTAATTGTTGATCGGATTGTATTATTTCAGTATTATTATCATTATTACTATGGCAACAAAAATTACCTAAATGTTTGAAAGCATCACTAAGACGTGTTTGTATCATAGGATTTTCACAATTATTAATCCATTGATAAACAAGATTTGAATAAGCTTCCTGAATAAAATGAATAAATTTATTTCAATGAATATGTAAATTTCTATTATATATAAATGTATATATTACAGTAATAAGCTTATTATTATTATTACTATTATTCCACGTCGACTATTATTTGCCGACTCTGGGACTGGTTGGAAAAAGCGGAGAGGTGGTCAGTGTATGACATGGTGTCGTGGTATTGAAGGAAGCTGTAAGGGGTTGGCTTCTGTTGGTCCTTCACAACTCCCTGGCTGAGGTTCGAGAGATGGTGCTATACAGTGGTTAGAGACGTTATCAGATATGGCTCAGAATAGAAGCCAGTGACGATCCTGTTGTAAGCTTCTTTTACTTTCTTCATAAAAATTAGTTGTTTCTTTATTAACTGAAAGATTTCTTCTGGTTGTACCTTTCCGTTTCCCCCATTATTATTACTATTACACTACCTTACACTGATCTGTTCGTGATTGTCTTTTTTTTACGCTCCTCACCTTTTTTCCTTCTCCTCTTCAAATTCTCATTGTTTTGTGTGGCGCATATATATTTGGTGGCCTTTTGTACCAATATTTATGTGTTCAATTAAATAATTAATTAATTAATTAAAAGATATTGTCTAAAGTATCTTCAAATGAAATGTAATTTACCAGTAATTCAGATTGGTAATGTGATGAGATTGATGGAAGTTTAAGTATACAGTAGCATATGGTAAAATATTTCGTAGCAAAATATTACTTGTGGTAAGGTTAAACAACAATGAGGAAATAATAATGACGAAATTTGAAAGGATGCGAAGTCAAAGACTGTAAAATAAATAGATTGAAGTAAGGTTTTTATAAATAGAAAGTGACATCCTTAAGAGTAGTAGTGACTTAGTGGTTGGTATGGTTGACATCGAATAATTGAACTATAGATTCGAACCCAGTTGTTCTACCTAGTTTGATTTGAAAAACAGTGTAGTAATAATAGCCCTTAAGGAAAAAGTGTTTCACAGCTCAGAAAATGAATTGGCAATCAGTGAATGAGCTACATAAAATTACCCTCCGAAGAGATTACTGGTGTGAACACGATATTAGATCAACAAGCTGGATTCCGTAAGGATCGGTCGTGCACAAACCGAATTGCAACACTACGGATCATCGTCGAACAATCAGTTGAGTGGAACTCGTCACTATACATCAACCTCATTGAGTATGAAAAGGCATTCGACAGTGTAGATAGGAGAACGTTACGGAAACTTCTTCGACACTATGGAGTTCCTGATAAGATTGTCAATATTATCCGGAACTCATACGACGGACTATAGTGCAAGGTCGTGCATGGAGGACAGCTGACAGATGCATTCCAAGTAAGGACCGGAGTCAGACAAGGCTGTTTACTCTCTCCCTTCCTCTTTCTTCTGGTAGTCGACTGGATTATGAAGACCTCAACATCTGAAGGAAAACACGGAATACAATGGACAGATCAGAACCAATTGGATGATTTGGACTTAGCAGATGACCTAGCCCTCCAATTCCATACACATGAACAAATGAAGATGAAAACAACTAGTGTAGCAGCAGCATCTTCAGCAGAAGGCTTCAACATACACAATAGAAAAGCCAAGATCCTCAAATACAACACACACAACACCAACCCAGTTAGACTTGATGGAGAAACACTGGAAGTGGAAAGATTCACGTATCTCGGTAGCATCATAGATGAACGTAGAGGATCTGATGCAGAAGGAAAGACAAAGATTGGCAAAGCAAGGACAGCTTTATTACGGTTGGACAACATATAGAACTCAAAAAAACTGTTAACCAACATCAGTCACAATCTTCAATATGAACATCAAGGCAGTTCAACTGTATGGAGCTGAAACTTCAGGAACTACCACAACCATCATCAAAATGGTACAAGTATTTATAAATAGTTGTCGACGCAAGATACTCAACATACATTGGCCGGATACCATCAGCAACAGCCTTCTCTGCGAGATAACAAACCAGCTTCCAGCTGAAGAGGAAATTAGGAAAAGACGAGGGATATCGATAGGACATACATTACGCAAATCATCAAACTGCATCACAGAACAAGTGCTAACTTAGAATCCTGAAGAGAAGCAGAAAAGAGGAAGGCCAAAGAACAAATTAGGTCGGGAAATAAAAGCAGATATGAGAAGTATGAATAACAACTGGAAGGAGCTGGAAATGATTGCTCAGGACAGTGTTGGATGGAGAGTGATGGTGGGTGGTCTATGCTCCTCAACGAGGAGTAACAGGCGTAATTAAGTAAAAACACGATATTCTTTCAGTAATAAATAAAAGGGTGTATACACATGGCTATGCAAAATAGAGTACCTACACACAACTTGTAAACTATTATCAACATTCATATAAATAGCCAGGTATGCGTTATCAATTTGTAAGGCTAACGAGGACGATTAGCTAATCTTAACAATCTTGAGTGATGATTAGTTTATAAGTAAAGGAAAAAACAAAACCAATTATAAAATAATCATTCAATATCGTCGAATCGCAAAACTCAAAACAACTATTTACCGGACTTAAATGAATTAAATTAAGGAGTGCAGATGAAAATGATGCTTCTAAGTTGACCGAATAACTTTCTCTTGTTAGTAATGTGAATAAGTCAGACAGGAATTGTGTATTCAAACCGATAACATTGATCAAACGAATAGCATTTTGAAGCTCTTCTACAGGACAAGAACGAGAACGTGATCTAATCTCCAAAAAATGATCAGTCAATGAAATTATAATATCCAAACATTGCTGAACCACTGAATTGTCAACACATCCTGCTGAACATGATGCAGATCGTGAGGCAGATGAAGATTTAATGTGATTTGATTGATCAAATTCTACACCAAATATTCCAAATCGAAGAAGACGACCAAAAGATGTAAGTTGATTGTCTGTAAGTCGGATGAATCCCTGAGGACGTAATTCACATGCATAAGAGGCTAACGAATAAAATGCTTGACATAATTCTGGGATCTGAAAAACAAAAGTTGGCACACAAAGACACTAATTACGACTATCTGAAGCATTATAGAACTAATAACAAAATAATTAATAACTAACTTGTTCACCAAGTACATGGATACGATGGTTAATAATATTAATTCTCGATTGCTCAAACCAAAGTAGGTGGAGCAGCGTTTGAACATACAATTTAGTAGGTGAAAGTTTATTTATTTATTTGAACACATATATATTGGTACAGGAGTGCGCCAAATATATATGCGCCTTCATCAACACGAATAGAAAAGATTCATTACTGAAAGGATGGGAGGCAAAGCCCGACTTGTACCTACGTACAGTACTCTCTATTTAGTGTGTGATCTTATTTCCCATGAGCAAAAGCAAGCAGCAAAACCGTATGGTACAGATTGAGGTAACCTCTCACTCTACCTATACCCACAAATGATTACAAAAAACTCGCAGACGAACGAGAGAACGACTACGAGTGACTCAAGTAAATCGCATCGGGAGTTGGAGAAACCAGTTTTATTAAACGTCTTAAGTAGACCCTCTCAGATCTTCCCATCAACTTTGAATTTGACATGGCAAATTGAATAAAACTTGTAAATCTCATCTCTTAAAAAAAATGAAAAGCTAATTTAGCTACATATTTTTGTGGAATTCAATCCTGAATGTTATCATACAAGAAGCAATTGATGGGAGAGGGAAAGTTCCAACTAGACTTTTGTGTCGGTATGGAAAACATAGAACAATGGATTGTGTACAAGTTCTTGTGAAGAATACAATTACACAGTAGAAAAAATACGGTCAATTTTCAACTTTGGATGAATTCAAAACCTAACTAATAGTATACTAAGAACTCAAGTAAATACTACTTGGTGTTTTCCTTCATAACCAGTATACGAATCGACTCGAAAATTAAATAGGAGATCTAAGTCAATTTTAAATGGTTCGGATT